TTTCACTTACTGAATACGGGACAGACTTGACTGGGGGAAAGAAGGGGAGAAAGAAAGAGGGAAAGAGAAACAGCTGAGAAGAGGGACGGGGAGAAGGAGCGCCCCCAGAACCTCACGCCCATCCTGGACCCACCCAGCGTGGGTCCGGTATCGTTGCATCCCTAATATATATATATATATATATATGCACTAAAATTTCAGTAACACTAAAGACACTACATTACAGAGCATCTTAGGGATGGTAAGATGATATAAGATAATTTTTTACTATAACTAAATGAAAATGTATACGTTTAAATTGCTGGTTAGATGATCTCTGTGGGAGCTAGAACACATTTGCATCAGTGGATAAACACAATTCCTGCAGGAGCTTAAGAGTCAATTTATTAGGAGCTTCGACACAGCAATGAGATTGTTTAAGGTTTCAGAGAATAATGTGTGCAATCAGGTGGGCGGATTGATTTTTAAAGGTTATCCATCAGTTGAGTAAATAAAAATCTTATGCTTAATTGACCTGCCTGGGTAAATTAGGTTAACTGGCAATAAATTGGTAGTGCCCCTTGTAATGAAGTCAAACAAGGCCCCCTTCGCTCTAATTCTCAGGGCTGGGGGTCAATTAAATTTCAACTGAATTTAGTTAGTGTGTAGATATAAAGTCCATTACCTGCTGACAGAGTACTTTCATTCATTTCACCTAAAGCTGAACATTACCACTGAAGAAATAACAAACAGTCTTACTTGTGACATCAATTCTGTGTTCATTTTTACTTATTAACTGAAGAAATCAATTTCACTGCTGAACTATTATGACACATTCACAGCCACTTAAAGTTAACAGCAAGGTGAGCAGCCAGTGAATCATTTCTTTCATTGTATTCCTTACTGCTTGTATTAACATAATTGTTCGGGTCATTTAATGACATAATATGCCACTGCCCTGTCTAGTATGTAGAACAATATTAAGAGAATTTGTCTGAGACTAATTAAAGACCTTCATGAATTAGTCTTAACAATGGTGTATGGAAAACAGATTTTAATCGCAGGTTAACGGTAAAAAAAAGAATAAAATCAAATAGTAAGAAATGCACCTGCCCCAATCTGCTGGTTTCTTCTTGACAAAAATGCCAAATAACATTTCTATTAACAGCTCCTCTTCTGTTATACCTCTTCTAATCAAGGAAAAATCTACTTCACAAAGAATGAGTGTTAAAAAAAACGAGTAATGTTCTTGCCACTTATGCAACCTCCTGCAATGAGTGCCCTTTTCATGCCTAAAGCAAGTATGCACGTGGACCGACTTCTATAGACGTGTTTGGAAACATAATCATGTTTCAATAAACTGCAACATATCTATCTCTTTAAAAATGTCTCTTCACGTTGGCTTCTGACATTCAAAGTGTACCTGAGAGGAGATGAGGTAGAGGAACTCCGCGAGTGGTGGCAGCAGGAGCCGTTTTATTTTACTGTTCCTTAGATTATCCCTCAGCAGGTCTGTTAGTGTGGACACAGCCTGCAAAGAGCATGACAAACACTTTCAATAGTACTTCTATTTTCAATTAAAGTTAAATCACATGAAAATTAAAAAAAAAAAAATAATAATAATAATAATAATAATAATTTAAAAAAAAAAACTATCTGCACAATAAAATTACAATTCATTTTACATTTATATATTTCCCTAGGGCTGGACATATTCTATTTTTTAATACAAGCCAGGGGCATCTGTATTACCCAGAGACATCACCAGAAGCTTGGCAATGCTCTGCTAGCACATAAAAATTTCAACTTCAAAACTCTTATATTCGAACATTATTTTTAAGTTGAGGTAGCAAATACAAAAAGCTTAGCTAAAACCAAATATCTAATTTATGAACGCAATCAACTAAAAATATTAAGGAAAAACAGGAAAATTGATTTTGTCAAAGTCACTAAGGCCACTATTACAGAGATCATAATTTCAAAGCCTGCAAAGCTGTCCCACTGTGTAGGATTATAGTCCAAATCTACCAGGAGCTGCCTGTGTTGTAGTCAACAAAAACCTGGTCTACAACTTTTGAGGAACGAAGACATGCATATTATTTAGAATTTGATGACTAAAACGGCAACAATGTCATGCTAACCTGAAAAACATTTAACAACTGTTTGTTTTAGTAAAGCTGAACAATTATCCACTGATGTTCTTTGAAAGAACCTGCAAATGCAATATTGTCACTTCTTCTATGAGGTTAACACAAAGCCAGTAGTGAAAGGCTGCAGGACCCAGAGTGATGCTCAGGTTGGATCTTCCCAGACAAATCCATCAGTCAAAGCTTGACTTTGAGAAAAAATGAGTGATGAGATCAACAGGTTTACAGCACTGAGGTTGGTTTTTACAGTAGGGACACTGCTCTCACATCAAATACTCCTTGGGCAATAAACTGTTGTATAAGTTGTATAATGTAAAAAACAAACAAACAAACAGCAAAAATGTGTAACAAAATACTTTGTGTATGGAGTTAAAATATAATATTATGGTTTACCTTTTAAGTAAGGACAAGATTATTAGCTGCTGGAATAAGACATAATTGGTATATCTATAGCCCTGTGAAAGGCTGGAAACATGTCCAGGGTGTATTTCATGACTTAGAGGATGGATATGCTCAAGGCCCTCTATTCATCCAGTTCAGGGGGGCAGAGTTACGAAAACAGAAGCATGGATGGGATATACATTAAATACAAAAAAAATAAATAAAAAATCCCATTGAACTCAGATGTAAACACACACACACACAGACTTAATTATATGCAAACACAGCCTTTCTGGCTGGCTGCTTCCTGACATTAGCATTACTGCCAGCTTTCCCCCTCTGTGATCTGATGCAAGTTCTGCCTCATTCCTCTTTTGTTCCTGCTTTCTTCTTTATTTTTTCCATTGTTTCCATTCTCTCCCAGTTTTGTATCATTTCTGTATTGTTGAACATATTTTCTCCTTCTCTTCCATTTTAAATTTGCCTGCTGTGATTCTATTACAGCTCTCTCACCAATCCTGTCTGTTAGCTATGTTGTTCTGTCTGTCCATTTTAGGGTGAGGTAGTGTGACAGATTATCATGTTCTCTCACACAGAAAGTTTCACTACAGTTACACTCAAGCGATTGTATTTTGCCATTTTCCAATCTTCTCTCTCACTCCCTTAGTGAGATCAAACCACTAACGATTTCTAAATGGAAAAGGTTGGGAATTAATATGCTGGGGTGTGTTAGAAACTGGTCAAGCAGCTGTACTCAGGGAGAGGGGAGAGGTAGAGAAAAAAAAAGCCTACATGAAGACATATAAAAAATAATTCCCAGAGAACACCTTACAATTATCTCAGCATCAGCACTTCAGGTGAAAACTATGCACATCAGTGCACACAAGGAAATACAAACCCATGCACTTAATTAACACACATAAACAACAACGCAGACACACACACACACACACACACACACACAATAAACAGTGCAATGACCAGTTACTGCGGTGGACTATTAGCCTTATAGAAGACTGAAGACTCAGCCAGAATTAATAGATAATACAAGCCCATAAAGCGGTGACAGAGGAGACTGACTTATAAATCAGTACACCAGATTTCAATCCCAGCTGTCATAGCGTGAAAGGCGGGGGCACACCTGGATAGTTTGTCAGTTTGTTGCACGGCTAAATTCATATTAATGGATCACATATCTTATACTAACAATGTGAGGCACAGATTATCACAGCATCTAAAAACACATTCACCAAATATCTCTAGGAAACAAGACTTTTATATTGTTTACCCATAAGAGTATCCAGACGGCACTGTAGATTTCAGTTTTAACTTTAATCAAAATCAGTCTTAACATAATTACACAACACAGTCGGTCCAAACTTTTTTTTTCTTTTTTACAAAGGATATTTAGAAATCCAGAAATGTCTTTGTTGAGCCATTGCCCTCTGAATATGTCTTCTTAAGGATTGCTGTGAGCTTTTAAAATTCATTGCTTTCCTATAACCCTTCACAGTTCAAGCTTTTGTGGCAAAACTCCCAGAAAATCTGGGGAAGATCATGTGTAGTGGATTTTGAAAGCACAGCTTCTCTATCTCACATTAAGAAAGCAAGAAACATGCATTAGTAACATTAAAACAAAACATTTATTTTTCATTTAATTCTATTTGACGGCTGAAGGACAATGACAGACTCACTGTAGAAAGACAAAAGAGAAACAAACAGGACAGGAAGAAAGAACAGTGAGACAGGAAGAGAGACAGACGAGTGTGTCTATTGAAGAGTAATGAAAACATATAACAGCTACCATGGTAACTAAGCCCAGCCCCAAAACTCTGATTAGCAGAATATCAGTGAGAGGACCCCTGCTGAGAAAACACACACACACACACACACACCAGAGAAAAAAATCTTTTATTGGTCATCTGTTAGCATCACTATAACATAAGGACAAACACAAACACAGATGCACCAAAAGAAGGAAAACACACACACACACACACACAAAATATCATAAAAGAGACCCCTGCTGAGTCCTCGCATAAACATGGTTTAAAAAAAAAAAAGCACACTTGCAGAAACACACAAAACACCTCTGCTGCGTCTATAGATGGACACACGACTACGGACACAAAGATTATTTATATAATGCTTTTTGTTATCCTTGTCATTAGTAGCTGATTTTTTTCCACTCATCATTGGTTTTTAACAATTCACTAAAGAGAAATTGCGATGCCAAAGTCGTCCATTTTGTATATCGCTGTGATGACTCAGTAAATGGTAAATAGACTGGTTCTTATATAGCGCTTTTCTACTCTTCTGAGCACTCAAAGCACTTTACACCCATTCAAACAAGCACATTTTCTTAGTGCTTTCTAACTAACATTCACACACACATTCATACTCCGAGGGATGCATCGGAGAGCAATTTGGGGTTAGTATCTTGACCAAGAGGCATGCAGACTAGGGGAAGCCAGGAATCAAACCACCAGTATCAGTAGATGATCAGTAGATGACCTGCTCTACTGCCTGAGCTACAGCCATCCCAGTAGCAGCAAAGAGCCAGAAGACAACTGGTGTGGTATAAAACAGTTCTCTGGCGTAAGATGTCGACAGTAAACCATGGTAAATAAGAATAAGCCGTGGGCATCACTGACAAATAGCACATAGCTAGATCTCTGTGCCATTTATACACCCCCAGTAGATTCTACTTTGATGAAGCCATTTTTTAAACTCCATCAAGAATCTGCCAATGTCCAGGACTCAAAAAAATGATGCCTGATATGATGAAACTACAAATCAGAAACTACTTGTTTTGTAAGTATCACTGGTAATGCGTCTCTCCCTTCTGCTTGTACATAGTTAACAGAAAGTTCAGAGGGGACTCTTTAGAGAAATGACTCAACAAGGGAAACCGATAAACTGCAATGCTTATGATGGGCCCTAGACAGTGATGACAAATCTGCAAAGGCTTTAAAGTTACATTATCTGACAAATCACATATCAGTATATAGTAAAAATCAGACAAACAAAAACAAGACAATCAATACATTCCTGCCAATATGGCCACTGGTAATATCAATATTTTATCATAAGGCTAATTTCTCTCATTTGTGGCACTAAACATGACCATGTAAGTACCATGGCATCTATGTCAGCATGTGCATAGGCACATTCATAAAAAAGGTCACTAAATATTGTTTATGGATGACCCATGATAAATTAAAATCTTCCACCTAAACCACTGTACTATTGAACATATATATGCTCATTTCACTTTGACAAACCAAACCTTTTAACTTGATGAAAAATGATTGCCATGGCTGAAAATTAAGTATTTATTTTTTAGAATCAATGATTCCAGTCTCTTAGTGACTAGAGGGAAGTCTGTTTTGGTATGAGCATTACAACATCAGGGAGTTTCAACGTGGCAGTAAATACACTAAAAGAAAAAAGCTTAAGCTGTAAATGCAATTAAAAGCAAATTTGATTCCTCATTTGAGTTCCAAATTTCAGCTAAAGTGTTAACCAGTCAATTTTTGTTGTAAGACAGTAAAGTGAAGGCTCCACTGAGTCACCACAGTAATTATGCGAAAAAACTGAATTGTTTACATGTATAGTCCTGCAGATGCACTTTACTGCACATGTACACAGAAAAACAGCCACAAATGGATGCAGAGCAGAATGAGGCAGACATCCATTGAAAATTTAAATTAAAAATTGAACACTCAAATTTATTAATCACCTCAAACCTAGCCCTCAGACACCCTCTAGTCCAAAGCCCTCCAAAACTAAAAGATGAGCCCAGAAAAGAGTCCCTTGTGTGAGCTGGGGCTGAGATTAACCGCTCCCTCTCAGACATTTTCTGGCTATTATCACAACAAAACTGCTTTCCAAGCACCAATCAGTTCCCCAAATTATGTCAAGAAACCATTTTCAAACATTAGAAAGAAAAGAAAAAAAGTCGAAGTAGAGCTAGCCAATTTCAAAAGAAATTATGGCAGAATATCTACTCCACGGTTAGAAGCACACCAATAACAATCTTAACTAAGTACATTAGTGGTCACTCTTTGTGTAGAGAGGAGTTGAGTGGTCAGAGATACACATCCTCCTACAATTTCTAATGTTTAATGAAACAGCAATGTTTACAGTAAGTACTTCAACTCTTTATATTATATATACACTCCTTTGGCGAGGAGCGAGGCACACCCAAGGGTCCCTGAATGACCAAAACACACACATTACATGGATTGATCCAGACACAAACATGAAAATGATATATCATAGACTGATACATAACAGTTATATATTAATCTTTATACTTGATTAAATAAATTGTATAAATATTTATACCACTATTATTGTGTACACTCAAATTATTTTGGCAATATTTTTTTCAGAAGCACCGTGCCAATATAGCCACTCTGAATTTAACTGAACTGATGAGAGCAAAAGTGAGAGAGAGAGAGAGAGAGAGAGAGAGCGAGAGTGAGCAGAAGCAAGAGAGCGCAAGATATCTCTAAAGTTCCTATTTACTGTACACAGGCTATGGTTGTCTTGTAGCTTTTTAACGCCGCCAGCTGGTAAATACTGGTACAAGAAGTATTTCTACATCTTGTTTCAGGACAGTTTTTTTCCTCCTTCCTCAGCTAAAAGCTTTTATTATTGTTTGCATGCCTCTAAACAAAAGTACTAATTATGGCCACATGCACAATAAAATTAAGCAAGACATGCTAAATCAACCTTTATGTATTTTGTTGTGGATAAATTTACATTTTTATATCAATAAATGTGCTCTTTCTGGTATTTACTGCCACACTGTGGTGTAAATTTGTACTGCAGGTCTGAGGATCATGAAACATTTTGAAGAAAACAGGACTTCTCAATTTTTTGGTTACTCAGCGCATTAAATAACTTGTCTGAAATAAAATGACTGTTTTGCTCTTTCTATAGTTGCCAGTGTTACACTTTTATTTCTAATATGTAATAAATAAATAAAATTCCATAAATAAAATATCTATTTAATTGCATTGATAATGTCTTGGGGTTTTAAATCTGTGTTGGCACACCTACAATTGTGACAATTAGCTAGGAGCCCTAGTATAAATTTTATACTAACATTTGAAAATTGTGTTAGGTTAAGGTTAAAAAAAATGAGCAAATGAGCAGTAGCTGTTCTCCCTAATTAAATAAATAAATGAATACATGAAAATAAAAAAAATCTAAAGGAAATAAGCGTAACTTTATTTAGTATGTGTGTATATTCCTGACCTCAGAAACAGGACTGTCCAATCCAAGGTCACTACAGTGCAGAGCCAGTAGTCCCATCACTCTGAGAACCTTGCTCCGTCTGCAAAGCATTTTTCATTTTTATTTATTATGTTAATTGTGAATTTTCAGCTTGGATATCATCTCGGGATTTTTTAAAAACATTTTCAGTTACTGATTTTATAAAACTGGTCATGGTGTTTAAGTTTTCCAGCATCCTTAGAAGAAAAACACAACACAAAGCAAAGAAAATGTATAAACATCAAATTTCTTAGAGCATGCTTAACCACTCTAGATATAATCATAGGAACTGCAGTTCATAAAACAATGTTAAAAAAAAGCAATTGGGAGAGGATGTAGAACTGTGCTTCTTCTAATTATTCAGTAGCTTTTCTTTAATCATAATGTTTTGCCACATCAGAAATTAGCACTTTAAAAAAAGCAATGTTACAGTGTCCCCTGTTTATAGAACAAACATACATTGTATACTTACATGTCCCAGTTAGGAGCTTGTCGCAACAGGTGGACCAAAACTAGAAGCTGAATGAAGGATTGAGGAAATTAGAGTGACAGAAAGAAGGAAAAGGATAGCAAACAATGTAAATATGTAGAAAATGATGATATATTGCCACAAAGCATGGAATCTAAGTTCATTGTGACTTCTAAAAGGATTGTTAATGAGAGTGTTCGGTGTTTTAGTAAAAAGAAATTAACTTTTTTCAAATTCAAATTGTTGAGTGGAAAAGATGAGCCGTATAAAAAACAATTATCATTACTTTATTTAATTACAGATAGAAAAAGTATGGTTATATCAGTAATAATACCATAAATAAAAAACATTCTAAATATAATTTTCCTGTGCTTTTGTTAATCTTAATCTTACATTTTTTTCAGGAACTCTGTGCCCAAAATCATATTGAAAGAGGTATCTTTATTTGAGCCTGAATAATTCTATGAAACTGCATCCTTGTGCGGTACTAATGACTCCCACTTGACTAATGACTAGCTGGGAGCAAAAGCATGACCCACACACCTACATCCTCTTACTGAAGTTCTCTGTTGACAGGGCAAACAAACAGACAAAAAAAGACAGCACAAGGTCAGTAGAAAATGAACAAACTGGAAAACAATAGCTCATTATAAATATTCAATTGTAGACATGCCAGTGGAAAGATTTCCAACTATAATCTTCCTCAGCTAACACTAAGGATCCCTTGCTGTCATGTAGGGTTGAGATATTAAATACATTCTATTAAGCTGCACAGTTATGCAACTGTTCTCAAGAAACCCACCCAGCAGATCATATTTCAACAGGAGTCTAAAACAAATATGTTTTCCTACCAGTCTTGAGTTAATCAGCCTGTTAGCGATAACTGTATGTCCAACCACACAGCCGAGGTAGCACAGGAGGTTGAGTTTGGATCGAGTGGCCGTGGAAGTGGAGTGGCCCTGTTCTTCAATGGATGAACAAAGCTGTGATAGAAAGACAGTCCACTCTTCATCACTCAGAGACTGTAGCTTCTCACCTGCAGGAAAATAGAGAGGATTCAAGATAAAAACCAGGGACAATACACTGAGATACTTTTTTGCTTTTTTTCAGGACACTAAACTGACTTTGTGCCAGCTCAAAAAACATACCTGAATATGCAGGTACACATAGGGTTTTAGGATCATATCGCACAGGTGGGTTCTTCAAAATCTGTTAAACAGAGCTCAAAATAGTCAATTGTAGCCATTTTTTCTACATTGCTAGTAAAGGTTGTTAATAAATGTCTTATTCTTATGTAAGAAGGAGCAAGAAAGTTTCCCACTAAGAAGACTTAAAGACTAACAGAGGTTTGACAGATGTATTTTAATGAATTAAAAAAAAGAAATATGAAACAGCCATCATATCATATAATTACACGCCTTTACCTTGGGGTTGTCGAGGACTGGGGTGACAGTGAGATCAAATTCAGTGTGGAGAAGATCCTTCACACAGGGTGTAGTGTCAGTACAGTTACTGGTAGTGAGAGTAACCTGAGGTGCAATGTTCTGATTTGGACAGTCAGATGAACTGCAGTTTCTGATTGAGTTGGCACGGGAGCTACAAGAACAGGAAGAGAAGAGTATGGAGAGCAATGTATGGTTTACTATAGACATCTGAGTACCACTCGTTCTAGGTGTGTTCCTACTGTAAGAGTAAGTCCAAAGCTTACATATCACTTTTGAGACACGAGATTCACATTCTTCCTCTGGAATGATTTATCTGTAAACTTGTGCACTGAAAACAGGAACAAAACTCTGTAAGGGAAACTAGGAAAGAGTGAGTACAGAATACCTGAGCAGAAAAATGGCCTCAGTGCTGTCCTCATCCAAACCACTCTTTGGCTTCAGGTCTGAAACATTATCTGGAGAAGTAAGCACGTGTGTACTTAAAGACACATAAATTTGTGGTATGGTGAAAGATGAACCTTACATCATAATAAGCAGAAATCAGATCTGCACAATAGAAACTACTAGTATAATGTAGACCTACAACAAACCAAAAACCAAACACAAACAAATTCTAGTACAAAAAAATGGTAAAGCAAAACAGTGGAATATAAAACCAGATTAATGATTAATTAATGGTTTGAAGATAAATATTGTAAAAAACAGAATCTATCACACACACAATGTTCATATATACAAAAATGACTAGTGTTAAAGTACAAATTAAAATTCAAAGTTAAGTAGCTTACTGTGGCTAAGTATTAAATGTTGTTGCTTAATCTAAACCACACAGACTTTGACGAATCTGTTACCTAGTGTGAATGACTTATTGGTCTGCAGTGTGCGGCACATCTGCAGACTCCCAGTTAACTTAGAGTCATCGTCAGGTTCTCCTTCTCTTCTTCTCTCCCTTCCGACTTCACTATTCAGGGTCTGGCTTTGGCTCAAGGCTCCAGAGGATGTGTGGTTGACAGAATTTTGGCTGTCAGTCCTTCTGTCACATGGCCTGTCAGTTGTTGTAAGAGATGATATTAGTTTCTCAGACATCCCATAAGCTAGCTGACTGAGGGCTAAGTGGCTGTTGGCAAGGCTCGCTGCTTGCCACGGATGGAAAAGGTCACATGTGTTTGTGTGTCTGTGGAGGTAGTGAGAACTAAAAAGACTTCATGGTCATTTTCTTTCTTTTTCAGGTCTGAGCACTGGCTGAAGTTACCCTTTCTAACGTGTAACAGAGAAAAAGGAAGTATTTCTGTTCAGATGGGTTCTTACTACTCGTTTTACTCGGTCAGTTGGTGTAAGTGAAAGTGCTTCCTGCAGAAAGCAGGACACATGAAGTCTACTCATGAATGCACCCAGCTATCATCTGCACTATTCTTGAATGGATCCAGACAGATATTGCAGGCAAAAAAAGAAAATTTAAAGATCAATTCAACTTAATCCAACATCGGTGTTCTTGTATGTAGCTCCATCGGATAATGCCAAGAAAAGGTCTATGCTGAAGCACATGAGTGAAAATGGCGATACAGAACCCTTTCTGCAAGCTGTTTCTTTATTAGCTAAATTCTCTGATATCAACCTTTGTCAAACACGATTCACATCCCCACTGACAGCCAAAAATAACAAGGAAAAGAAATGCTGGTAATTATGTTGGACTTTTAAAATCAAAACAGATTAGAAAAATGAAAAAACATAACCTACCTGAAACTACAAGAAACAACCTCCTTGCAGACATTTTCTGCCTCTTCATTTTCTTCATTCTTCTCTTCACCTTTTTCGGCATCCTCTTCCTCCTTTATAATCTGTTTCCAGAAAGGGTGAGCCAGCAGTTGTGGCCAGTTCATCCTAAAGATACATCAAAAAATTAAATGCATTATGAGTAACACCTTACAATACAACCAGGAACTACAGCAACTCCCCTGTAAATGGAACTTTAATTATTTTATTTGAAATTACATTGTAGTTACATTTACCTACAAGTAGTATCCCAAGAATAAGGGGTTAATAAGTCCGTTTTTTATAAAAAAAAAAAAAAAAGAGAGAGACATAATTAAACTGTAGGTAAATTTAAGCATGTATAAAAAAATTTAGGTAGTGCCTAAATTCCTGGTATTATACTGTATTTTTAAATACTGCATAAGTATTTTTAAGTACTGTGTAATTTCTTGGTAATTTTGTAGAAAATCAAACTACACTAAACTACAAGTCAGACTTAGCTCCATTACACAGGCCTGCAAGTTTATTTGTTCTTGTAATTTAGAAAGGGAGTCCTTCTTGCAATGCATTGGCAAAATAAAAGGACAGTTAAATAATAGAACATCCATCATGCAAGCACTCAGAAGCTTCAGTTAATGTCATTAGAATTGGGAAAAATATGATCAGGCCGTATTTCCAACCATGATTCTGGCATGACTGTTGATGCCACACGAGTTGGTTTGGGTATTTCTATAATTACTGACCTCACTGCAGTCTGCACAGCTCTGTCGAACTGGAGTGAGAAACAAAAATACCCCGTGAGAAATACCTTGATAATGACAAAAGTCTCGGGAGAATGGCCAGAGTGTGCTGACCTGACATTAAAGCCGAAAAGAGCTCTGATAACCACGCTGGGGTGAGCAGAAGAGCATCCAAAACATTTACAACTTCCAGGCAGATGGGCTACAACAAAACAGGACCATGTGTGTTCTCTCCTATCAGCCAAGAACAGAAATTTGAAGCAGCAATGGGAACAGACTCACAAAAACTGGACAACGCAATACTGGAAAAATTAATGATTATGAATAATGAATTTTAATTTCTGCTAAGGCACACAGATGGCAAGGTCAGACTTTGGCATAACTAGCATGACTCCATGAACCCAGACTGCTTTGTGTCAGTTCAGACAGGTGGTGTAGTGGTGTGGTGATTTTTTGTTTTCAGCACACTGAGCATTCATTCATTCATACTGATCACTCATTTATTAAATCCCACTGTCTGAGCAATGCTTCTGAACATGTGCATCGATTTATAGAAGCATTTGAGCATCCAGATGATGAAACTATAGCAACTGTATCAGAATTGTAAGTGTTTGTTGTGTGTGTATGAGCTTAACCTCCTCTCAGGGTTTTTGTTGAGCAACCCTTTCAGAAGACTCTGGAAATCCTGGCAGGGAGGACCTGCAGAAACCACTGTACAAAGAAGAAAATTAACCAAACAAACAACAACAAGAATAAAATCAACAATTATCTGTTAAAACTATTTTTTTCTAAATATCAAACACTATATGAAATGTGACATCTTTGTGTGCGAGTCTGTGTCTGTATATAATGATGTGGGTGTGCGAGGAAGTGTTTGTCACCTGTCTGCCTGGGAGGTGGTGGTTCCTTATTCAAGATCATCTCTCTCAATTCAGTGTAGTTGTCAGAGAAGAAGGGGGGTGTACCTGGGAAACAAAAACAATATAGAACAGTACCGTAACATATTACAGGCCAGAATTAGTATTTTCATTAGTTTGAGTCTGTTTGCATATCAGTACCGGTGTACATGTAGTATAATATACAACCAAGAGACCAGAGATCAGACTTCATATTAGTTTCTGATCCTTCCAAAACCTCTGGAGCACTGTAAGCTGTAGAACCTGAAAATATACATGTATAAATGCACACAGAGTAGTTTAAAAAACAGATAGTATAAAGTATACAATATGGTATAGTCTTAACATATTTTAATTTTTTTAAAAGTTTTTATGCTGCTATTTTTTAATCTCACCAAGATTTCAAAACAACATTCCCTACACAAGACTTGTTTTTGTAATTGCCTTAAGTGAAATACCTCTCCTAAGGTTGCACACCCAGAGCACTGGATGCAACATTAAGACCTTGCTTACATTTCCATCTGATCAACAGCAGCTACTAACAGCTGTATATCTTTAGAGCCTCTCTTATCTCTAATCAGCTGGTTTTATACAGTCAACAAATGATAGCATACAGAAACAGCATGATTACTAACCTTGTAATCTTTTCTTTAAGTTGTCAGTGTTCTGATTGCTGTCTCCTTCCTCTATCTCCTCAGATGCAGAGAACAAGGTAAGGAAATCCTGCAGCGTGTCTCCCTCTGCCTTAGACAGACAGAAGTTACCAAACTTCAGAATGCCGCTGCCATCAAGTAGGATCTATGAGCAACAGAAAGAGAAATATTACAACATTCATATATGATGGTAGCATTGCTGTTATACACTTACATAGAGATGAATGCAGGTGCAAACCTTAGCAGGAGTCAGGTCAGAGAAAATGATTCCTAACTCATGGATGTGTTTCAGTCCTTTGACTAAGTGCCATCCAAACCTTCGTACCGCATCTTGTGACAGGCTTCCATCATGGGCAATTACAGTCTCCATGGAACCCCCTGAAATTTACAGCACATGTTTGTATGCAAGCTTGGCACATGAGGTAAAAACAAAGAGAACAAAGAATGACACACCTTGCACTGCTTAAAAAAATGTGGTTACAGACTATACCAACACTGAATATATATGAGTAATGGGGAAAAACACATTCTGAAAGGACATTTATTATTAAAAACTTAAAATATTAAAGTAATTTAAGCCTTAAGCTGCTATAAGTTGTGGTTCTCATCAAATATATTCTTTGATATTCGGGTACTGTTTATAACAACTGCCAGGAATAATGACTGACCTGTACAAAGCTCCACCACCAACCACAGGTGGTTACTTGTCTCATACCACTCGTAGAAGTTGGCTATATTTGGATGATCCAGATCCTGGGTGAGGCGTACCTAATACAAAAGTGAATCATCAGAACACTTTTATAAAGCAGGCTTTTTACGGCAAAGCTCAATGCCAAATTGCACCTAAAAATATCATGCACTAATCATTCACATGATCTTATTCAATATGAAAAGCACACTGTATATATGCTAGTGTACTGGGAGCAGTGGCCTCAGAAAGGGAGATCATCCCCTAACAGGCGGAAAATAGATTGACAGTTAGATATATCAATACTAATCACGGCCTTCTTTGGACTGTTAAAAACAACTCTGTTATTGGTATATAAAACTAATACAACTAGCAGATGTACTACTAAGTTCAAACATTGTCCTACATGGTTAGTAATCTCGGATTTCTTGGTTTTGTCAGTGCATTTGATGGCAACATAGTTGAGATTGCCCTTCCTTCTTCCTTTATAGACAACTGAGTTGTGGCCTGCCCCAAGCTCCTCGTACAGAATGAAGTTTTCCATTTGCTGTGGAGAAGAAAAAAAAGGCCTAATTTATATCTATTCACTTCAAACTTTTTTTTTCCCATCAGTGAAAAACAGAAGCCTTACAGTAATTCAAACTATACCATGCAAGTTGTACGTACGTATGGAATATTATCTGCTCTTGCACGCGTTTTGATAAATGGGACCTCTGGGAATCTTGTCATAAATCTGTTTTAACAACATCCAAATACATATATATATTTAAAGGTGGGGTACTATATTTGTTGGAGAGCCACACCTGTAAAACAATCCGCCTTTAATTAGCGGAACACCTGTTTTACTACAGCAGCTTCATTAGAGTCAACCACTTTTATAACTAACTCTTAACATTCACCCAGAAAGACAAGACAACAAAGTGTGTATTTTATGCTTAAAATAAATAATTAACCTTTATGTGTGAAAAAACATAATGTTATGAGGCATTAACGTAAATTTTAAAATAACGGTTGACCTCGGGGGCTTCATGGTCTGTTGTACGTTCAGGAGCTCAGGTAGTTTGCACTCTTTGAACAAAAAAAGTTAACAGTTGAAGTGAAAGTAATTATAAGAGACCTGCACACGCCTGTACACAGGCTCATAAAAAACATTTGCGATTAATGCTGAGCTTGTTATTTTTTTACACTTCACATTAAAGTAGCTTGAAACCTACCTCTTCAACAACCCGCTGTTTGTGAGCGGAAGAGTGATGGGTCGCATTGTTCCAAATGGAAGAGTGGGGGGTAGTGAAAATGTTGGCATGAAATAAAGGCTGTATCTTCTCGTCATAGTCATTATATGTGCATACAGATAAGTAATTATATTTAATAAAATGTTTCGGTTTAAATAAGATATAAGCAAAACTGTGATTTTGTGAAAAACGCTGTATTAGTTTTAACCTGATCCACCTCCAAATGGTATATTCCCACGTTGCTAGGATACTAGAGTGAACACAACAGACAGCGGGCGCTTGGAATCCAAATTTAAGTGGCTGTAATGGCGTTTTATAATAAACTATAACAGAGAAATTTATAAAACTCAGTTTTAAATTTGTGTTATAAAAATAATTTTCAGAGTACTTCTGAATATTCCGGAGGTAAGCTCTAACTCTGGTCATACTCCGGTCTTCGGGGTCTAAATGCAGGCATACACACAATCCATGTGAGAGTGTAGAATGACGTCATTAATTAAATGATATTGGCAGACAAAAGGCCTTACAGTGTTTGCCAGCCCACAGGGCAGCGGGGACACTGGTGAATTAAGTTAAAACTGTGTGAAATGTGGTCATGTGTGAGACGTTTTCCATTGTTGCTTCGTAAAATGTGATTGACTTTATTGAAACTGAAATCTTTTTCTAAACCTAACCAAACGGTTTTGTTTCCTCACTCTAATCAAACTGTCTGGAAATGAGAATGAATAAATAAATTGTTTTTAAAAAATGTTTGAAGCTGGCTTACGAATAACTTAATAAGCTAGGGATAGAAGTATGTCAGTCTTTTGCGGCAAATTTCTCTCCATATAAGAGTAGGGAACGGTGGAAATCTGCATAAATTTAAAACTTCCCAACTAGCTAGGTTACATAAAAATGCCAGGGACGAATTCCGGAGAACATATTTCATTCAACAAAATAAAAGCCAGTGATGCTTTCAATGTATTTACCATAGTTTTTTGTTATTGCAAAGTTCAAGTAAAGACAACAGTCATTACATTTCTTAACCCGGCTGTGTAACCCGACTGTGTCAACTGAGGAAGTTCAGGGTCTCTCCAAAGATCCTCAGGATTTTCTATACAGGCGCTGTGGAGAGCATTTTCACAGAACATCACATCGTGGTTTGGGAACAGCTGTGTTAAGGACCAAAAAGCTCTCCAGAGAGTGATCCGTACAGCAGAACGCTGCTGCAGGATTGCTCTCCCCCCGCTTCAGGACACCTAAACCAGGAGATGCCGGACTAGAGCAGCGCAGATACTGAAGGACCCGTCCCATCCTGGCAACAAACTGTTCCAACTTCTGCAATCTGGTAGAAGGTTCCGCATCATCTGAGCAAGGACAGAGAGACTCAAGAGAAGCTTCTATCCCCAAGCCATCCGGGCCCTAAACACACACACCCGCCCTCTCACATCATCTATAATTGACTGAGACAGGACTCTCTTCCAAACACTCTAAACCCAGGCACAATGTACATTTCAAATTCCTTTAATTTTAAATATGTTTATATTGTCTATTCTGTAAAATAGTCAGATTGTCTATTCTTATTAATGTACAGAATTCACCTGCTTGCTGCTACTACTGCACATTCACCTAATGTATATACTATATATATACATATATAATGTTCTTCCTCTACCCCCCCCTATTTTTGCACATGTCGAGGAGCGTGTCAGGTTACATTTCACTGTGTGTTATACTTGTATAACTATGCATGTGACAAATAAAGAACCTTGACCCTTGAACTTTGTAAATACAAAATGACAGCTTTCCTGGTTCAATGAAATAGATTGTCTTGACGCATGCTCAATCATCAATGTAAGTAAATCCCAAAAAGTTGATTCTGTTCATCTGGGAATGAAATAGTAACTCCTATGCAATGCCACTTAAATTTATGAAAAATGTGTATGTGTCCATACACTGTAATATAAACAAGAAAATAAGTAAAGTCCTACTCTGAAAATGAAAATGGGGAAGAAAAAAAAGAAAAAAAAATCAGACATTGTCTAGGTAAATGATTTTTCTCACTATCCGTTGTATTATGTTAATTATAGTTTTTTATGTCCTCTGAAATGTGAAGAAGGACGGTGTAATATAAATCTATGGTTTGTCAGATAAATTTAATTTCAATTCAGATTTGATTTATTTTTATTTAGATCTAATTTATCTTCGACACACGAGCCATTTATAAAATTTATACTGATTTTACTGCATGTTCTAGTCGACATTTCGTCAATGGAGGTTCACCTCATGTAGTTTGACAACGAATACTGACATTAAGTATTTTATTTTGAAATCTCACAGACCGGAAGTATGTAGTGAGTTTTTCCCGCTTGTATTCAGCTGTGCTCGGTCAGCAGCTTTGTTTCAAGCGCCACACATTCGCTCACTCTTGCCGAGGAAGTAAGAAAGCGGCACAAGTTTTGTGAACAGACACGGGGTTTTGATTCAGATTACACCCGTCGCTGGTTTGCTTGTCTTATTTCCAGACTCGTGTTGAGCTGGTACTGTGACCGGCAGCATCACGGATCATTTTATACCGCCACAGTGTGAGCAGGGTCCGACGGAGCCGCTAAATTGTCCTTTGGTGTTCGCCCCCCACCCCAAAACAGAAACCGGAATCATTTGGACTCTTCGGGGAAGTTTGCGCCACAGAAGCGGTAAGAAGTGTTTCACGGTGCTGTGTGTGCAGGTTTGAAAGTTTGCCGATCATGTGGAGCAGGTGCAGGTTGCCACAAACTGGTACCCCTGAACTGTCACCCTAAAAAAAACGACGTGAACCCTCTGTGCGTTAATATGCGGTGCGATGTTTCACTGCATTTCCTTTATACGATTTTGTTTTAAGTGACCGTTTTTGTAACCGAACTAATCCCTTGAGCTAGATCGACAGCCTAATAATGAAGCCGTGTTTGCACGAGAGCCATCTGTCTCATGTATTGCCACTGTTTCTAGTCCTTGCCTGTCGCTGCTGCTTTGAGGTGGGCACTTTTAATAAGATTAAGGTAAGATTTAGGTTGATTTAATCTTATCACAGTAAACCTGTCTTCATTCATTAAAAGCAGCCGAGGGTCCCTCGGTCTTCACGAGCGGGCTGACAGATTACCACAACCTCAACTTTTGCCCTTAATGTCAAGTGACATGAGGTTATTATTATCATTTCTCAGTTTAGAGAGTTGGATCGTTGCCTCTGTGAATACAACCCGGATATAAAGTTTTTTGGGAACAAATTGGCAGAAAATGTATCAAATTGAGCTTCAAAATCCAGTCAGAAAAAGGGGCACTCTGCCAATACACTCAATTAGGGAAGAGCCCACCAGAGAAGTCACAGCAACACAGTATTGTAAATTCAATCCATAGTACACTAAAATCTTGCTCCATTTATATACTCTCTAGAGGCTTCTTGCATCATATATACCATGTTTGAGTAGGCTGCTATACCAAGTTGTTCACACATAGTAAGTATCCCTTCACTGACTTCCAGTGAAGCTAGGAATCTTTCCTGTTAGCATATAAGGCTCCACATGGACAGGTCCCTGCTTATATAGCAGAGCCTTTTAAACTTTATCACTGCAGCCGGTGTCTCTGATCCTCTAACCAGAGTCTCCTAACTATTCCTCGCTCTACTTTTAAAATGAGAGGCGCTCATGCTTTGAGGTTGTGGCACCCAAACTGTGGAACAGCCTTCCTCAGCCTATCAGGTTGAGCCGATTCCATTATTAGTTTTAAACAACAGCTGAAAACACATTTTTATTGGTTAGCTTTCTCTTAATCTTTTCCTCTTTATTTTGGGATGTCGTTTACAGCTCTTTGTATGTATGGAAATATGCACGTTGGAATGCATGTCTGACCACATGGCTGATTACGTGTCTGTATGTCTGTATTTGAACATGTATACTTTAAAGTGTGCATTTTATCCTAACTGTGACGTGCTACGTAACTGTGTCTTGAAAAGTGCTATACAAACACACTTATTGTTATGAAGGGATAGTTTTCAGGCGCAACGTTTCTTTGTCGTTCCTAGGAAGCTAAATTAAGGTTCCACTTAGTTTGCCAACTAACAGCACATGATCTGTGGATGGTCTGCGTACTGTCTCACTGCTCAGACACACAGCAGAACACACTGTTAACGCTGTGTCTGCCAAGGAAGTTCACACGGCGTTACTGACAGATTGACTGAGGTGTGTCTCTGGTTGTTGTTTTTTTTTCTCAAAGAGCTGTTAGTAGCAGGATATTAGCCAAGCCCCTCAATAAGCCAGAATGAGCCTCTTTCTTAAGGACTGCAAAATGTACATTGATTTATTTTGGATAAGAAATATTTCTCCAACTCATAATCAGTCAGCACCCAGACCTCCATGTTGATGTAACACTGGTTACAAATGCTCTGAAAAATCCAGAATAAGTCAAAGGTTGCTTTTATGAATGAGACTCTGAGTGTTAAGGACCTTCAAACATCTCTTACTTCACTGGGATTGTACTTATATGAATATATGGTCTGGTGTTTGTTTTAAATTATAAATATTATAATATTATTAAAAAATAAATATAGTAACAGTATTTCCAGATTTCAAATAAACAAACAAAAATAGGCACTTTTCCTCTTTGTCATTGTGATTTTTATCACTTGTTTGCCTTTGGCATTGGCCTTTGTTTGCCTGAACACTGGCACTGTCACAAGAATAACTCTGGTGCCGAGTAAACTTTATCCCATTCTAAAAAATATATAAACTTTAAAAAAAAACTATAAATATATAAAATAGAGGAGCCACATCAACCTTAACTCTGTCCTCGAGACCTTCATTTTTGTCTTGCGTTGATTCTGTGAGATAAAACAGAAGCGCAGGAGAAAGGGAAAAAATGTTAAATCCAAATCATGTGTCACCCAGCAGGTTCAGCTGAAGTGAACTTCAGCTTATCTGTATTGGCACAAATGAAGCTGATGTACTGAAAGCCTTCAGCTGGTGGGCTATTTCATATCGTACAGTGTGCAACAATAACAA